TTGCGTCCCTGCAGCTTCTGATTCAGTTGGGCGAGATGCTCGGTTATGTCACACAACACAGCAAAGTCACACAGCCAGTTTGGATCTGGCAGTTCAGACAATGTCTTCCCTAAGCTCAAAAAATCGTTTGAGGACTTACTCAGCCACCTTACTTCTGTATGGTACGGCACGTCTCCGTGCTCCGAGCCCATCTCCTGCAAGAACAGCTGGAACTGACGATGATTCAGGCCACGCGCCCGAATGAAGTTCACTGTCTTCATGACCGTGGTCACTATATCATCCATCCCCAGCACCTTCCCGCACAAAGCTTCTTGATGGATAATGCAATGATACGTTATCAGAGGCGTGTGACAGTTACTTTCTTGCATTTTCTCCTTCATTAGTCCAACCAAGCCCACTTTTCTTCCACACATTGCAGGTGCACCGTCTGTAGTTAATCCCACCAAGTTTTCCCAGGGCAATGCGTTTTTAATGACGGACTTCTCCACCGCATCAAAAATGTCCCGTCCCGTTGTGGTCCCATGCATGGCAGCCACATCCAACAGCTCCACAGTGACAGAGAGGTCCGACATTCACGCCTCTAATAAAAATAGATAGCTGCGTTGTATCCGTGTTGTCTGTGCTTTCATCAACAGCTAATGAAAAAGCTATGTAGCTGCGTGTCTCTTCGGCCAGCTGTGTTGCCAGGTTTCCTGCTAGTTCCTTAACTCGGCTAGTGTTTCTTGATAAACTGACATTTTTAAAAGTCTGTATCTGGTCGGGACACACCTGCTCACAGACCTTCAGCATGCACTGCTTCAAAAACGTTCCCTCTGAAAAAGACTTTGAAGCGCGTGTGATTTCTTCAGCCACAACAAACCTAGCTTTCACTGCCGCATTGTTTTTGGTTCTGGCTTTCGCGAACACATTCTGCTGCGATCGCAGTTTGCCTTTTAATTCTTGGGCAATTTGTTGTTTTTCTTGATGGCTAATTTTGGCATACTTAGCTCCGTGTTTGGTCTCAAAATGCCGACGTAGATTGTACTCTTTGACAACCGCCACCGCCTCATAACACAAAAGACATACCGGTTTTTCTCCTTGAAGCACAAACATGTATTTACCTTCCCATCTTTCTTGAAACACCCTTCCATCTGCATCATTTTTTCTCTTCCTTGACATTTTGGGATCATTATTTGTATTTCTCAATTCCACTTGTTGGGAAAATCGCATCGATGTGGAAACACTGCAGTCTAGTGGCGGGATGCCGTCACTTCGCAGGTAACATAATCGGCATGTATTGTGGGAAATGTAGTTTTTGGTCACTGCACGCATTTGACTTATTTATTTTTAGACAATCAGACCTTTTAAGCTCTCGCGGGCCACATAAAATGACGTGGCGGGCCACATTTGGCCCGTGGGCCTTGAGTTTGACACGTCTGCATTAGGGGAAACGCACTGCACCTTCAAAAAGGATCCAAAATATAAACACAAATATGCCAAAACACATGCAGATGAAGAAATATATTCACTCACTTGAACAAGTGCAGCTTTTGGAAAAACCTTCGCCGACTTGACAATCCATGTGCAGTGTTTACAAGAAGCGCCGCTGTTTTGTTCATTTGCATGTGTTTTGGCAATTGTGGTTTTTATTTGCAATGTACGGTGGCCGGCAGGTGCAAACGCTAAACAACGGCCAAAAACACACACATAAGCAGGAAACACCTGCAAATAATGAAATGAAAAACCAACAAACCCCGAAAACACATACAACAGAAAAACGCTGCATTTACAGAAACGATGCAAGCTAAACCTACAACACACAAACCCCGATAACAAACGCAACAGAAAAACGCTGCAAATACAAAAACGATATGTAAAGTCAAAAGCACATACAACCGAAAAACACATTACAAAAAAAAAAGACATTACAAAAAAAAAACATTCCGGAAGTGCTTCAGGCCTCTAGGGGGCGCGCTACGTGGAACAGATTGATGTAAGACCAGACATAGAGAGAACGAACAAGAGGAAAGAAAGTTCATTTAAGTGGAGAAAGATATAAGTAGGTAAGTTTTGTTTTTTTATACATAGAGCGTCATATTTATATAGCTAGCGTTAGCGTGCCTAACTACTACACCAGCTGAGGAGAGGAGAGCTTCACGTGAAGAGAAGATAAAGTGAGGGAAGAACATTGTAAAGAGATGACAAATCAAGTGCAGGCAAATAACACGGGCCATAGTGGGTACCGCGGAAAAAGGACATTTGAATTCTTAGCAGTTTGTTTATATTTATGTATTTGTGTATAGACATTGCAACTATACAGAGCTTTAGCAATTGCCTGTAACTATGGTCATGCTAATAAAGCTATTGAATTGAATTGAGAGAGAAAGAGAGAGAGAGAGAGAGAAAGTGACAAAATGTGAAGAGGGACAAAGTAATGACAGGATAGTAGTGTGCATTAGACATTCAAGGAGAGAGAGAGACAAATCACAGATTCAACGGTGAACATGATGTATCTATTTATTTAGCTAACCACTATTTAGACTGTGTGTTTTTGATTGACTTGATTACATGGATTTACTACATCAATGTATGTCTTTTCAGGCTGCCATATTTTGTCCTTTCTGTGGCCAGCATCTGGGGACAGTTCAAGTGTTCTGTGGCTCCTGTGGCAACAATGTACAGTTTTTGGCAGAAGTTGAACACAACAGTAAGTTCACTTTTTGTATTGTATCTGTTTCAAATGCAAGAAATAAGGATTCAACACACTACTTTGTTTAGAATACTAATTGCAGATGCATACACTAGTTATCAGCATGAAGGACACATTTTTTCATTGTCTGTTTATGTGAAATATGTAGAAGCCATCATTAAATTGTAGACCAACGCATGATTAAATACACAAAACAGCTTATATTATACATTCATAATTGTGTATTAGTTATATCTTTATAAAGAACATTATACATTTAGAATCAGATTTTGAGACAGTGAGCCATGACATGATGTTTTCTTCTTTTTCTCCTTGTGTTTTTGAACTATAGAAGTTGCAATCATCCTCCCAGCATGAAAGTATTCGTCATCTTTTGCAGCTGTTGATATTTTTTGTTAAATTATTATCACGTTAACCAACAGTTGCCACGTTATCATAAAGATATACAGTATAAGATAATTTAATTGTCACGTAAATCAAGCTGCAAAATCCATAAGCAGCTCCTATATTTACAGTACAGTATTGAACATAAGACAGATTTGCGAACATCATTACCTGCATTGTCGAACTTGAGGAATTTCCTGTCCTGTGGACCATCAAATATTCTTCTCATTCTCAGGCATTCCATTAGGAGGGTCAGGAACTCACGCTTGGGACCACCAGTGTCCACTCCATCCTCAGTTTGTCCCTCAACGTCAGTAAACTTAACCTGCATCTGATGAGAGGGGTCGAATGAGGCCCCTTTGAAGCCGCGGATTGCTCCATCCCATACATTGGCTCTATTAATATTGAACCTGCTGCAAGAGGTATTTTTAATTTTTGCAGAGAGTTCTGCAACAACGTCTGGCGCAGTCAGGTATTCTGTGCTGGGAAAGACAAAGTGATGTATTGTAATATTAAATGATGAAGCTAGTAATAAGATTTACAGTACAGAATAAAAAAATTAAGTGATAAAAGTAACATTTAATACATTTCCTCTGCAGTTTGCTCCGTTTCCTCTTCTGGCTCAGACTGGCTGTCAATAATGATAGGTGCATACACATTTGTGTAGTTGCTGCAGTGAGAAGACAGTTGAATAATTACTTTCAAATACATAATATATGCATGATAGTCATATTTGCAAAAGGATGTCGATCCTCTTCCTGGTTTTTTCAATACATTGGGTTCTAAACTGACAACAGCACTTTGTCCTACTCCTGCACAATCCTCGTAAACATTTGAAATGGATGCAACAAACAATATCTGACCTTTGAAAAATATTTGTGGGTGTTTTTTGTATCGTCTTCACTAAGATGTTGTGGTTGTCCTTTGGAAATGTATGAAAGTATAATTGTTCTTCTTCCTGGCAATGTTACCCACTGTGATTGGATGCTATGCAAACAACCAAATATACAAATAAAGATACACACCACACAACTGTGTCACGATGCAACTGTCAACATCGTTTACCTATAGAAGGTGTTCTGACCCGGGGCAGACTGGACATCTTCCTGGAATGGGGTTGGTTCTCCATCCTATTTTTACCCAATAAATAATGATGCAGTTTATCTAATGACCGTGTCATTAGCACACAAAGGTATTTATTGATTTCATGTTTACAAATTCAAACCTACATGGTATAATTACATTTGTAATTAGTCTTACCCGATCAGACGCTGGTTGTGGGTGCCTGAGAGGTCTGATAAAGGTAAACAAAAAATATATTCAAACTACTGTACTGTTAAAACATTCTGCTTCTTGTGGCACAAAATAACATGTTGACAATGTTTTATTTGACCCTGGCAAACTGTTGTCCATTCTGGGAGTGCTCTGTTCATTTGGAAAGTCCCACACCTGCATATAACACACAAATGACTGACTGAAATAAAATAAATTCACTTTAATTAAGAATAAATGCCACGATAGATCCAAACTGACCACGGTGTCAGCAAGACTGTCTCCAGATGGCAACTTTAAAACAACCACACTGTCCTCGTCACTTGAAGAGGTTGTTCCAGTGTAACCTAAGAAAATAAAAGTGTCATGATTAATACTATACAAATAATTGTTCCCCTACGTCTGTACCTATCATCAAATGTTGGTTTGAATCCTGAATTATTGGATTGACATCAATCAGAAAGGATTCAATCGAAACACAACATGTTTGTGAAATGTACATTATATTGTTGACCGTCTTTTTCACTCTCACATTAGGATTTACATTGGGGCACAACAAACCAACATTGTTGTGAGAATTTTTTTTAATTTAGAATTAGAATCCTTAAGAGGGAATTTATATTTGATTTGAACAGAAGGAAAGTTTGGAAGCTTTTGTTGATACTTAAATTCCATTTCTTCTGCCACTATTCATAAAAGACCATTTGACGTCATAAGTTCAACCACGAAGAGAAAGGAATGATGGGTGGAATGAATTGTGTTAAGAAATATAGACAGAACAACTGTTATGTTTACATTTGAACTATTATACAGTTTAGTGCTTTAAACAAGGGGGAATATATGTCAGAAGCACTTACAACTGTTTTCAACGGCTTCAAGAGTACAGATGTACAACGTAATTCATTAGTAGGGCTTTCCAATGGCTTCTTTGTACATCTGTACTGTGAAAGGGGTGTCCGTTCCGGGGATATTTGTTATCACCTTCGCATCAGGGTACAACAAGACATGGGCACCATCTTCCAAGTCCTGGTTAAAGGCTTTCTGCTTGTTTATGGCAGCAGCCAACAGTTCTTCACATGCCCATTGAGGTTCAACATGAAGGGGAAGTGTCCTCCCTCTCACAGGTTTAAGGCAGCCATCCATCCTCCTCATTACTCCAACAGAAATCTGCAAAAAGACAATAATATGCAAATGAATAAAACATTTTTTCGGACATTATATAAGAGTGTGGTGAGCAGATTTGAATTACAGATGTATTCATAATAGAAAACGTTCCATACCTTCACCAATTTCTGTTTATTTTTGGAGTTATGCCGTCCCTTTGTAAAAAAGGTCTCTCCCTCTTTTTTATTTCCCTATATTTCTGAAAGGACTCTACAGCTGAGCTTCCTGCTACAAAAAAACAGGAATAAAACATTCATTACTCTTCATTATGTTCAATAGGAGTCTCATCCTCAATCCCTTCTGAGGAACATCTTATAACACATTCAACAGTAGGTAAGCCACATAGTTTAGAGATGTATTTGTATAATAACAGAATTCGAACTTTTAAACCAAGTTTTCTATAAATATTTATTGTTTGGTAATAAAACGAACAACCTATTTACCTGCACTGGTGCTAGGCTGTGCACTTAGATGCACACTAGTGGTGGGCATCTCCTCAGGGACTTTGTTAGCCACATCTTTTAGAAATGTGATGTCTCTGCCACAGACACCACAAAAGCCATGCGAATATGTCACGCTGGCACCACAGAATGGACAGTACATCTGTGGAGAAATAAAATGTAGGACAGCTAGGTTAAGTCAAAAAGAGTGGATATTTTTCAGCTACCTAAATATTATAATAGTATTAAAGAACGGTCTTTCAATTAACTCATCAGAAGCCAACCTCCTGTCTATCCCCACACAAACCAAGCACCGAACCTGGGGGGACAGAGCTTTCTCCATCGATGCCCCCTCCCTCTGGAACTCACTCCCATTAAACATCAGAGACTGCACCGACCCCCCACCTTCAAAACACAGCTCTTCAGACTGGCTTTTAATGTGGGAATAATGTTGTGTTGCTGTTTTAATATTTTAATTCAACTTTTGACATTTTATTTCCTTTTTATCACCGCATCGCATTTGCGGCTCAGTTGAGGCCCCCTCCACGAGGTGAGGGCGTGAGACCCAGGGTCGGCGTCATGGGGGGTCATTCGCGGGCCATGCCCCCCCAAATGAGTCACTGTGCCCCCCCAACGCAGGGTGGGCAAGCCTTGTCACTTTGCCGATTTTTTCTTTTTTTTATCATATAGGCTAAGTGAAAACGTTTCCACTAAAGGTTTTTTGTGTGAAATACATCAGAAATAAATAATACAATTATAAAACACAGCCTGAGGTGTGCTCACTGCTGCTCTCTGATTGGTGTGTTGCTTGACCAATGACCCCCGACCTTTTTTTTGTTATCATTACGTGGCTGAGTGTTTAGATGAAAGCCCAGTGGCGATCTGTTAATCTGTTACACTGATTATACAGTAAAGCCATCAAAAATAATATGATATACAGTACAGTACAAGTACATGGGTCTCTGTGTTTCATTCAAGCTCTGTGTGTGTGTGGCACGAGCGCATTTTGTGAGTGCGCGAGCGGTAACGTGGAATGTTGTGGTTAGCATCTGGTTAGCTAGCTATGCTAACGGATATAAAGAGCTGTTTCTACACCAAGGTGGAGGACAGTCCTCTCCTGTCAGACTGAGAGGATCTTATAACGTCAGCTCAGTGAGGTAAGGACTCTCTCAGTGTTTAGATAGTTCACTTTAGTGTAAGTTATCTCAGTGGGTCTCAAACGGTTTGGTCACCATTTATGTAAGTATTTTCGAGGAATACCTTTATATGATCATTATAGTTATTAAAGAGAGAATACATGAAAAACGGGTATGAAATACTATAGGACAGTAACACAAGAATACAGTTTAAAAGGGGAATGATTAGTGAAATATCCATAAAGAAAAAGTAAATCTGTGTACAGTTCTGTTTCATATGGATGCTGAGAGATGTAGGCTATCCATAGATCTCTTCACTTTGCTCTCAAAGTGCACCAGATTGATGCATTTAACTTCAATATTTTAAAAATAATCTTCCCGGGGGAGCATGCCCCCAGACCCTCCTAGAGGAGGTTAGGTCCACCCCCACCTAAAACATGTTCACATGGATAGGATACTAAATACATTTGCACACTTTTTATATGATGGCCTATGTCCATATCAAATAAAATCAAGTTTTATTTATATAGCACATTTTTCAACGATTTTTGGTCGAGCCAAAGTGCTGTATATACAGTATAATACAAAAATAACCTACAGTAAAGACACTTTACAGCAAATACAACAGCACAGTTTGTGCAGAATATCAGTATGAGAAAACGACACCCTCTGTCCTTATATGTTTCTGTTTTGGTGGTCGTGCCACAACCGTGGATGTATGCACAAGTCATAGGTGCGCTATACAATAGCACTACACCCCTGCAATGTGTGTGAAAGACAATAGACTTTACAGCATGTTTTTTTAAATTGAAGTTGGTGTTTGTGTGTTGGTTGTTGACGGCAGTGTGTGCCCCCCCTTGGTAAATGATTGCCCCCCCATTCAAGTTGTTCTAGAGCCGACCCTGGTGAGACCCCACCCAGTCTGTTTGATCTGCGTGTAGGGAGGGGCGTCCCGGTTCTATACTATACATCTATATGTCAAGAGTTACATTTAGGTGCTCAATGGCTCTTGCAATCTCTTTGATCAAACACGCTAACGCTAGCTACGTAAATATGACGCTCTATGTATAAAAAAACAAAACGTACCTTCTTATATCTTTCTCCACTTAAATGAACTTTCTTTCCTCTTGTTCGTTCTCTCTATGTCTGGTCATACATCAATCTGTTCCACGCAGCGCGCCCCCTAGAGGCCTGGAGCACTTCCGGAATGTTTTTTTGTTGTAATGTCTTTTTTTTTTGTAACGTGTTATTTGGTTGTATGTGCTTTTGACTTTGCATATCGTTTTTGTATTTGCAGCGTTTTTCTGTTGCGTTTGTTTTCAGGGTTTGTGTGTTGTAGGTTTAGTTTGCATAATTTCTGTAAATGCAGCGTTTTTCTGTTGTATGTGTTTTCAGGGTTTGTTGGTTTTTCATTTAATTATTTGCAGGTGTTTCCTGCTTATGTGTGTGTTTTTGGCCGTTGTTTAGCGTTTGCACCTGCTGGCCACCGTAGCATCGCCTCCAAAACTGCTGCACCTTTCTCCTAATGCAGGCGAACTTTTTTGACCAAAATAGCCATTTTTCCCCCTTATCCACCAATTTTGTTTGTCTGGAGCCGCAACACATAATATTTGATAGCTTATACAGTTGTATATATTGTTATATCATAGACAAAAACTACAGTTTTTTGCATTTATTATTTATTACATTATAGAAAACGGTTTACTTCTAATAATAAACAAAGAACTCTCATAAGGAGAATACAAAAAAAATACACAGGCCTACTTTAAAATTAATTTAACAGCACTTGGGGAGTCCTCTGCAAATTTGAATATAATTCAAATGGGCCCACTTTGAAATAAATAAAACATATAGCTGCACCCTAAAAAGAGTTAACGGATTGAATTATGACTGAAGATCGTCAGCTGTCTTCCTCTTCCGTGTTTTTCCTCGATACGTAAAGGCTGCAGCACCTTTGACAATTCCTCTCCACATATCAAACATACCGGTAAACCAGCATCGTTTGCTGTGAAAGCATATAACTGTCCACGCAGAATTAAATATTGTGTTCCTACGATACTTTTCTTTGATTTATCCATTGATTTATCCCGGCTCATCGAGCCGGGGGTCAGGTTATTCACCTGCAAGAAAAGGCGCTGGCGCGGGACCGTAGCAGGATGTGACGCATATTTTAGTTGACCTAATTAAAACCGTTTTTTATTTATGTGTCTCAGTATCACCTCAAAATACCAAACATTTGCAACCATGCAATTAAATATAAATAGTCCTACAAATATTTTTATTTTATTTCCTGCTTATTTTTGTCTAAGCTCAAGGGAGCCAGAGCAAAGGGCTTAAAGAGCCGCATGCGGCTCCGGAGACGCGGGTTGCCGACCCCTGTCCTAATGGAATTGTTTTTTTCGGCCATTGTACTTCAAATTAAACTCAATTGAGTGATATTTTCTGCTTCTATTCTATTGTGTTTGATTTGATACGGTTGTCAAACTTTTTGACTTTTTCAATGTCACTACTTTTTCTTAGTAGCCTCAGCTAACCAGACCAACATTTCCCTAAGGGAGCTATGCTTTAGTTTCACTTCTTCCAGTGTAATATTATTGGTATATTGCCAAGTTATCCTTAGCTTCCCACTCACTGGTCAGGTTTGTGTGTGGCAGCACTGTGTAGCTGTAAACAGGCCTACATTAAGCTTTGTTTAGGATAATGATACATTACAATATGATACAATCATCATCTCAATAGACTAATTTCACAGCAGACATTTCAGGATGTCAAAAGAGGGAAAGCACAAGTTTCATTTCCATTTAGACAAGGTTTTTTTACAGCAGCCGTCATAGCAGCGTAAACAGCGGTGTAATTGTAAAATATAAAAATAAATCATCCTGGTCCTTTCTATTTAGTGAGGAGTAGCCATCCCGATGAACCAAAATGTACAATACTTTAGGGGCATTATGTACTTAATTGCACCAGCATTTACCATGCCATTAAAAATGAGATTGGCTGCTGGGAAAAATAGCATATTGTCCATGTTTCCTTACTGGCACATCTTACTGGAAAACATAATGGAATTGAGCCATTGTTAACACAATGTGGTTTTGTGCTTTTATTGCTCCAACAAAATGTTTGCTGTAGAAAAAGATCTGCAAGGTTACAAGACTTGCTTCATCACAATTAGTTCACTGTAACTCTCCAAGCTCAAACAGTGAGACTATAGTAGAATCAGATGACATTTTGAAGATGACATTATATTAATTTTGATCAGAGGTTTTAAATGAGTGGCAGTTCTCCCCAAGGGGTCTCCAGACGTTTTCAAAGAAGGCTCGGTAAATGGAAGTGGAGCAATGTTACATTACTAATCAACAGAAAAGCTTACATGTATAAAACTATGGTTAAACCTGTTAAGCCCCATAGCCCCCCGGGGCTACAGGCTTCTTTTTTTCATGAAACTGTGTCAGGGCTTCTTAACATTTAACAACCTATTAATGTGTCATACCCACTTAACGGGAAGAAACTCAGCTAACTGACGGGTAATACCATGTTAGGAACTCAGACACTTAGGATGTAGGACCCAATTGCACGACCCGGGAGACAGGTAAAGTATTGGTAAGATACTTTATTTTTCCAAAATACAGCAAGATGAACAAAAAAATGGTCACTAGCAAATCTCAAGTTGAGATGACAAAAAATGAGAACAAAATGAAAGCGCTCACGTAGTGAGGAACAAAACTTTTCAAGAGCACAGAGAGCATAGACCTGACCATGGCAAGAGACAAGACGAACTGACCCTGAACACTGGGAGACAGGGGAATTTAAACACAGGGTAACAAGACACAGGTGGGAGCAATCAGGGGCGGGGCTGGTGATGATGAGCACAGGAGCAACACACTCTCACTCCATAATCGTCCAGGAGCGACGTTTGGTCAGTGTCCGTGGCGTGCAGTTGTGACGCTCCTAGGCTCCTTCAGCTTCATAAAGGGACGCAAATAGCTTTCAACTGATTGCAATGTATTCCCATCTGCGGCGGGATTTGACGCTCATGGAAGCACGGCATTCGTTTGTGTCGGCTGCCCTTAAAGGCAATGTGAGCGTCCATTCTCATTGGATAACGGAGAATTGTACACCCGGAAGTAAGTATTCCCCTTACTGTCGATTGATTTTACAGTGATAT